TATAGTTGTTCAGTGAGGTCCATTTACTGCGACTGCAAATGGCAGTAATTTTGTGTATGATAAGATTATGCTGTGAACGTGATTTACTGATCATTGGTTCTTCAGAACCATTACAAGGTTAACAATATTCTATGAAAACCTAAGAAAAGTATCTGTAAGTGAAAGAGCAGTGGCATACGTCATCTGATTTAAAAAAAAAAAAACAGTGAAGGAAACTAGTAACAAATGAATTACTTAAAACAGCAAATACTAAAACTATCCAGGAAATCAATGAGATTATCTCATTCTAATGATGTTACTGGGAGCCCTCCGACACGCTGGGCCCAGCCATGCCAGATCACTAACCCAGGCTACAATACACAAAACTTGCTGGTGCGATCATGCGTTTTTGTACTAAGCTTGCAGACTGCTAACAGCAGGAATGGTTTCTGTGCAGTACTTTCACATTCAGACTAATATTGGTTGTGTTTTGAGCTCTTCCTGCATGCAGGGGGAAAGAGCGTCGGCTAGGATGAGAAGGTGTTACAGTGTGAGTCGCATGGACCACCAAAATGCATGATTATCAGTTTTTTGCATGAAGCCCGGTTGTTTTTCCGGTGGATGTTTGTCCATAGAAACCCAGGTTGGAATACATTAGGCTAGTCGGAGTATGCATTTTTGCTCAGGTTTTTAGGCAGGATTCACTCAGAAGCCAGTAAATTTTGCAGCGAACGGCTGCCCTCATCCTTGCCCAAAATTCAGTTCCAATTCTTCACTGAAAAATGAAAATGTTGCCAAGTGGCCCGATCGTCAAAAAATCCAAATATGTACATGAACTGGACGTTGGGAAAGGATGAGGGCGGTCGTTCGCTGCAAAATGTACTCGATTCTAAGTTTGTAATAAAGCTGAGTATTCCTCATACCCACCTGCAGGGAATTTTACCTCCAAGCAGAATTAAGGCCGCACTTGAGAGTAGAATATTCTAGCAAAGTTTCTCACATTATCCGGAAGCGAAATAGTCACCTAGCTACAGATATCTTTGGAGTGTTCTAATCATGGCGCATTGCAAATCGAAACTCATTTTGGGTATACGATTTCCCCTGTATGGGCGATAATAATCTGATAAAATTTCAGCCACTGTTTTCCGGCTAGCTTTC